CCGTTGCCGGAAAAAAAAAAAAAAAAAAAAAAAAAAAAAAAAAAAAGAACTTAATATTTTGTTCTAGACACTCAGGCCAATGCAATAAAAAATGACACAGAAAGAAAAGGTATAATTACTAGAAATGAGAAAATAAAATTGTTCTTTTTAAAACTTAGTACCATTAAATGTTTTGACAATTCAAAAACATCCGTCAAAATCGAGCTAATAGTACTGCAGTACCTGTTTAATAGAACTGTGAGAATTAAACTAAACAATCCACATAAAGGACTTAGAATGGTTCCTGGCACATAATAAGCTCATAATAAATGTTAGCCAATTGAAAAAACCCATCCCACAAAGAGGCTAATTTTCTAATTTATTGATTCCTCTGTTTAATCTTTTTAAATATTTTTTATTTATTATTAGCATATTCATACTTACCAATTGTGGTATTTCTTCATGCCCTTTGCCCAACCTATCACTTCCCAAATCCCCACCCCATCTCTAGCATCCTTAGGTTTGTTTAATCTTTGTTGATTTTAGTCTTCTGCCTTAGATTTGTTCCTTTTATTTTTAGCTTAAGTTGAATGCTTAGTTCATTTAAAGCTACAAGAATTTGACATATTATATTTTCTTAGTATTTATTTTCTTAGATGTCTATATTTAAAGTTTTAGTTTTCTCTTTGACCCAAAAGTTATTGGAGAATTTTTTAAGTGTAGTAATTAAAACAAAAAAAAATTTTTTTTTAAATTTGAAGATGGTTCTATCTTTCAAAAAAACTGAGAGTAGGTTTTATCAGTTATTGGATATTGTTACCTGTTAATGATTCGTTGTCTCCTGAGTTAGATGAAGATTCAGGGTGCCTTTTCTGTCCTAAACATTTTTCAGCTCTCTGGTGGAAATAAAGACTGTTGAATTCTTTTTGATTTACATTAGAATCAGAAGCACAAAATAAATCCAAACTGGAGACAGATGGTAATTCTCTCCAGAAAGTCTTTTTAGTCCCAGTATTTGAACTTTCACACGTGAAGTCTTCCAACTCATCCGATAGAAATTTTTGCTGATTAATGAATAAATTATCTTTCTGAGAATACCATTCGTCACGTGTAGTCTGCTCTGCACCATATTGTAAGTCGAATGAGTGATTCTGTTGTCCCCATACATTTTCCTGATAGTTCCAATGAAGAGGAGATTGAGAGCCCTCTAGCGAAAAGATTGGGGCAGATACTTCATTACTTACGGATCCTCTTGCTTTGTGTGTTCCCTTTTTCTGATACTTTATAAAATTAGGGACAACTCTCTTCTGAGTATCAGTTGGTGATAATATGGTTTCACAATTCGTTTGTGTTAGGCCCAAAGAAAAGATATCTGACTCTGAATCATTCTGGTTTAGAAAGGAGTTGCAAGCCACTTTCTTTGATTCTATATTAATTAGAAAAGGATTATTCTGCTCTATAGGTTTACAGCTAGAGTCTTTCCAGTAGCTGGTTTGATTGTAAGAAGTCCCAGATGGTAAAATATACGGCATTTCTCTTAGTTCCGGAAGGGGATAGTTATAATTTGAAGTGGTGTTTTTGTCTTCCTGCACTGTTTCTCCTAAATCTGAGCATTGATAACACTCATTATGTTCTTGAATAACAAAGTCTGAAGAGCCAGAAGCTGAACTTTGAGAAGTAAAGGTACAAGTCTGGCTCTTATTTTCCTGAGATGATGAAATCTGAGGTGATTTTGTTACAGAAGAAGAGCTAATCTTGAATAAGGAAGTGATGCTACAAAAGTGCTAAAAAAATTTAAAAATTAATATAGTACAATACAAACTTCAGTCTAGTAATATAAATAATGATACTTATGTATATAAAAAGGAAAAAATATAAATAAATAGCCTATTAATAGATAGTACATTGATGCATGTATTAAGAATATAAAATAATTAGGCTCCATTAAAAGAAAAACATTGTAATTTGTATCTATTTTCTAATCACTTATAATATAATTTTTTAATAGACTATTTTTAGAGCAGCTTTAGGTTCACAGCAAATGTAATAAAATTTTTAGTTATATAAGTTTACATGAATACTATTTCCTTGATAAAAATTTTAAAATATTACCAATAAGTTTAAAGTTTCTTTACTGCTATAATGAAGGGTATGTAAGGACTGTTTTGAAGAGGTAATGTAAATACATGTAAATAAGGTGTGTAATTTACTTATTCATGGGCACAATAATACTGTTTTTAAAAATGATTTAAAGTGTGATAAACTGATTATACAGAATTATCTATATAACATACCTTTAAAATGTATAAGTGTGATTGGTAACTAATGAGAATTCTAAATAAAATTTATTTCAAGTAAATTATTTCTTTGCTATGTGAAGTTCAAAACAATTAAACTTGGATACCTTCATTTTGAAAACCCTATGGTAAAAATAGATATTCAAATGGAAAGGAAATAAAGTCATATAAGAAAACAGATCTCAGATGACTAACCTTTAACACTTTTTCTGGAACTTCAGGTAGGAGTTCCTGAAGTTGACCCAGAGTTGCTAACAATATCCAATGCAGTGAAGGTCCTTTACTTAACATGAGCTGAGCCACCAATGGATTAACACATGGAAAATCAAGTAAGTACATTTCTTCCTAGAAAAGAGTTTAAGGAATAAATCAGCCAGTGGTCTTTTGAAAGTGACCCATTTTATTCTACTCACTTCAGCAGATTAAAATTTTTGTCATTGTGCCACCATTTAATTTGGGACACCTGGAAAAAATATGTTAACAGAAAGGAAATTCAAGAATTTTTTTTTCTTCCAAATTTTATTTTATTTTGTCAATATACAATGTGGTTGACTATTGTGGCCCATTACCGAAACCTCTCTCCCTCATCCCTCTCCCCCCTCCCTCATCCCTCTCCCCCCTCCCTCCCAACAATGTCCTTTCTGTTCGCTTGTCGTATCAACTTCAAGGAATTGTAATTGTTATGTCTTCTTCCCTCCCCCTCCGCCCGGTTTTTTTGTGTGTTTATTTATTTATTTTTAGCTCCCAATTTGTATTTATATTTGCTTTGCAAATATCTAATTAATACATTTAGAAAATAAACCTTAGATGGCGAAACTTCAAGCCAAGACTTATCCAACCACTCAGGAGGCTCTCTCTTCGAGGTCATTAAATTGTGGTCAGCAATTTGTCGAATTATCAATGCAGTCTCTTCTACTCCTGGGGTAATTATAAGCTAAAAAATGTATTTTTATAAGTTAGATTATAGGAAATATTAGGAAGCAAAATGTAGCATTCAGAAATAGTTTGTAATTAGAACAGAAAATTTTCAAACAGAGGAGTCTAATCTTTGTATTTAAAATATTAAATATAATTTATTAATTTATCTATGTGAAATCCAGGATATTTTATTTATGAGGATGACCAATTTTCTTTCCTTCTTTAAACATGATTTCGTTGTATTTTCTAATTTTTGGACTCAATTGTTCTTCACCTTCATTTGGAATTTATTAAGAAAGTCTTTAAAAATATATTTAGTGTTATATTTCATCTACATTAGAAGAAACAGCAATTTGAATCACTAGTAATATTTAATATTTTGCTTGTTCTAGGTTAAACCTTATAGTTCCCAACTAGAAATAAGAATTTTTAAAATGTAGTGCAAAATTTTTTAAAAACGAGTTAAAAAATAAGGGATACTTATAAATGAATTTGATGTTATATGCAAAAAGGAAAAGATAAGGTTTTAATTTAGACAGGTAATTTCCAGTATTTTGGAAATCTTCAACCAATTTTGGACTATTTGATTCTAAGATACTCCTGCCAAAAGTGTGTGTGTATGTGTGTATGTGCGTGTGCTGTATTAAAGTTAACTCTAAAAAAAGAATTTCTTAATATCCCCTATTTCTTCCATCCCCTTCTCTCTTCTGAAATGTCAACCTTTTTCTTTTGCTTTCATTTCTATCTTTCTTTTCTTCACCTTTTAGATTTGGTTGAAGAAAAGGTAGTTGGGTTAGGAGTTTAAAGTAGACAGAGAAATACTGCCCTAAATAATCATATCTTGGAAATACAAATATCCTGTACCACTGTGGGAATTTAAGAAACTCACAAAATAATTATGACAATTTTTCACAATAATAACAAATAAAAAACTGTTAGTATATACTTTTATAAGAGTAACAAATACAAAACTGTTAGTATATGTATTCTAAAGAAGGATTTTCTTTAGATTATATTAAATAGAGTGCGCAGAAATACAGTTTAATCTGAAATTTATTTTATTGCTAGTTTTGGATGTTTTGAGAAGCTATTACACTTTCACTTAAATATAAACTTTATTTTAAAAGACAAAATTTTATGATGGTGGTAATAAATATTACCTTAATTTATTGGGGCAGGAATTCTGGGGCTCATGGCTAGACTTGGGGGATTCAGAGGTACCTGCTTATATTGTTTTCAAAATCTTGCATATGTGTGTATCTATGCATTTTTCTGCAAAGAGGCTTCATAAGAAATTTTCAAAAAATTAAAAAATTAGAGTAACATTTAGCATAACATCACTAGCAGTATTCTCTTTTAATTAAAAAAAAATACTTAAAGTTGCTAATATTTGCTTTATGGTTAGGCTCCTCAGATGCCTAAAAATGAAAAGGTGCTAATAATCCATACTGATGTGATCTAAGAGACCAAAAGCCATGTTACTAAATAAAATAAGGTAAAGCAACAATATGTTTTAAAATAATATGAGTCGAGGGAAACTCCTTTAATGTAATAATGTCTTCAAGTCAGGAAAATGGGAGACTTATAAGTATTGGTGACATACTGATAATAGATTAAGAGCAAATTGACCATAGTTACTTCAAAGTCCAAGCGGAAACTGACCTACATTTTAGATTATTATGTAAAATTTGAAAAGCTGTCAGAATAGCTTGATCCAGGTGGAAGCAGACTTCTGTCTGGAATGGACTGTGCCTGGGCAGTACTCCTATTTCATCCTTGAATGCCTTCCTTGGAGCATGCCCTCTCTGGGCCATGTCACTTGTACCTCAATATAGTATCATTCACTGGTATCATATACCCAGTGTATAGAGTAATAAAATAATTTCTAAAGCATATTTTGCATATGAGTGTTTACCATGAGCTGGGAAGAGAAGAGGCAAATTAAGTGCTGAAACCTCACTTGAGTAGATAAATAAGACAAATTTACATTTGCCATTCATTTATTTAGATAACCTTTTTTTCTTTCTTTCTTTCTTTCTATCTTTCTTTCTTTTTTTTTTTTTTTTTTTTTTTCTTTTTTTTTTTTTTTTTTTCTTTTTTTTTTTTTTTTTTTCTTTTTTTTTTTTTTTTTTTCTTTTTTTTTTTTTTTTTTTCTTTTTTTTTTTTTTTTTTTCTTTTTTTTTTTTTTTTTTTCTTTTTTTTTTTTTTTTTTTCTTTTTTTTTTTTTTTTTTTCTTTTTTTTTTTTTTTTTTTCTTTTTTTTTTTTTTTTTTTCTTTTTTTTTTTTTTTTTTTCTTTTTTTTTTTTTTTTTTTTGGTGGCTGGCCAGTCTAGGGATCTAAACACACAACCTTGGTGTTCTAAGACTGTGCTCTAACCAACTGAGCTAACTGGCCAGGCCCTAGATAACTTTTCTAAGAATTTTATTTGTATATTTATATGCATCACAGGATCAAAATTATCTGTGATCTTATTTCAAACAGATCATTTGTTGATTTTCTTAACAGGTTGTGCTTTGATTTAATTCTATTTAGTAGATATTTGTTGAATATTTTTGCTATGTACAAAGCACTGTGCTAGCTGCTATAGGTTTTACAAGTAAAAAGGACCTAGTTCTTACCCTTCAGGGTGGAGGATACATGAATAAATACCACATACTATTAAAAAGGTACAAATTATTATTGGTAGAATGGGAGAAGAAGAAATTATCCTGAGATAATATTATTGGGGCACATTTCTTAAAGGAGGTAATGTTTGAGGTAGGCAGTAAAAGACAGAACTCTGGCATCTAGCGGTAAGGAGATGGGGAATAATATTCCTAGGGGAAGGCAGGCCAGAATGACATGTTTGTGCACTGGCTGAGAGGTGACAGTATGCGGGCATAGTCAAGAAAAGTTGAGTAAAATGATGTTATAGGAAGGATTACTAGGGGCCAAATTGTAAAGGAGTTTGAATTTAGCTGAGTTTGAACTATATTTTGAATGAAGTAGGAAGCTTGGAAGGTCTTTGAGCAAAAAATTCAACTTCACAGTAAATATTTATCAAGAGCCTACTATGTACCTGCCATTGTGCTAGGTGGCAGGATTACAAAAATTGAATATACATGTTCCCTTACCTTCAGGATCTTACAGGGTAGGGAGTGAAATATTCATAGCAGTATTTCAGAAATGTAATTGGTGTCTATATATGATGGAGTGGGAAGAGAGTAGAAAAAGAGAGATTGGTCAGGAAGCTACTTTAAAAATCCAAGTGAGAGGTGATGAAGGCCTGAATTTAGGGAAAGCAGTGGGAGTAGAAGGAGAGATGTATTCTAGGGACACTGCAGAGTTAAAAAGAGGATTTAGCTACTGATTAGATCAGAATAGTGATGCTATAAACTAAGTATAGGGGAGGATGAGAAGTTGTGTGTTGGACATGTAGAGTTTGAGGAACTTGTGGGATAGTCACATGGAGATTCCCAGTAGACTGCTAGCATATAGGTACAGACCTTAAGAGATGTCAGGAAAAATTTAACTTACACTTAGAAATGAAAGCTTAATCTGTGGGAATGTCTGAGTTCATAAAGGAAAGTATGTAAGGTGATAATGGAAGAGTGCTAAACCCTGAATTTGGACAGATGTCTAAATTACAGAGCAGGACATTGAAAAAAAGGGCCAAGAAAGGAGACTGATTAGAGACCACCAATATATTACCCTACTTTATGTCATAAGATTTTCATTTCATAGTAGATAAAAACTTAGTACATCTTTCATAAGGAACATTTTTGATCAAAGGATATTTATTTTTATTCTTATCCTGCCATGCTTAGAAAAACATCTAAGTAGTAATTAAGAGATAAAATATGATTTTAAGTTCATTAAACTAAAGGCTTTTAGAGTAGAAGTTTAAGTGGTGAGAATATTTATTAATTTGAAACTGTTGTGTATTTGGATTTTAAGCAGTTTTTTATTTATCCATTTAATGTACTTCTCAATGGGCACTTGAGTTTGTGTATAATTTTGGTTTATGAAAAGTACTTATAAACAAACATATAAGAAAAGAATACCTTTACGTCTAGTTCTTCAGATTCTAGACCAAATGAAACCAAAGCTGCATAAATCAGTGCTAGGTGATGAAGTGTCTTTTCTGTAAGAGGGTACCTAAAAAGAATTGTATTACTATATTTCTACTCATTTGATATCTGATTGTATTTATTAAAAATTCATTCTCCCAACATTTTAATGTTATTAGAATAACCTGACTAAGACAATGCTAGTGCAGCAGACTCATGTTTTTTTGTCCACTCTGCACTCTTTTGAAGAGGCGTTTCCACCTCCATTCTTTAACAATACTGTTAATTCTAGCGGATGCTGAGGGTATGTGTGTGGGGAGGTGTGGGGTGAGGAGAGAAGTTTAACTGACCCTTTTACTGGCCCCAGGGATGGCTATATGACCAAACTACTTCATCCCTGCTCCCTGCCCCACACCTGCCACCCCAACACAGATCAAAGTAACAGGTTCAGATATAAACACATGACCAGAGCCAGGATACCTAGAATCCTCCCTGGACTTTAAGAAAAAGCATTCTTTGTTTTATCCTTCTATGATTATTGAGAATGTTAAGTTGTGGGTGGATGTTTCTACTTCCTTTATCCACTTCATGTACCCTCAGCAACAGAGGAAACTACTGACTCTTGCTCCTTTGGATCCAGGGACTCAAACAATGTCATCAAGATAATGACTCTAATCTTTGGTTATTGGCTCTTCTTTCCTTTGTGTTGGCTTCTTTCTCAGGCAAGCTCTTTCCCTAAGAGTGCCTGAAAATAGTGGCTCACTGTGCCTAAACCGTACAAACAATATGGTTTCAGCTAAGCACCTGCTTTCCTTCTTAGCTAAAGCCTAGAACCTTGGTATCCGCTAGGTGGAAGGTGCCTACATGACTAGCCTGTAATAAAAGCCCTGGGCACTGTATCTCTCATGAGCTTCCTCGGTAGATGAAATTTTACAAGTGTTGTCATAACTTGTTGAGGAAATTAAGCATGTCATGTGTGACTGTACTAGGTGAGAACTCTTGGAAGCGTCCTCTTGGGCTGCTCTGGACTTTGTCCTATGAGCTTTTCTCCCTTGCTAATTTTGCATAAGGCTTTATTACCTTGTGCTGTAAGAAATCATAGTCATGAGTAAGACTGTATGCTTAGTTCTGTGAGTCCTCCTAGCAAACCATCAAACATAGGGGTGGTCTCAAGGACCCAGATACACTTCCTCAAAAATGTATGGCATGTACTACTAAGAGAATTCAAACCATTCTTTCCCCTCATTTGATCAGTTGATTAAGACACTTCATAAGTGTTACAATCATCTAAAAATATGGAACTGAGATACCTAGAAGTCTGAAAATAATTACATTTTATAATAAGATATTATTGTGAATAAATGATAACACTTCACATCCTAAATATAAAACTATCTCAGAGTATTACATAATTAATTTTTCATGAAAATGCAGGTAAAAATAAGTTTGCATCTCCTCTTATTCTTCCCTGTACTTCAGTTGCACCACTAGAACTATAGGCAGATAGTAATCTAAAAACAACTTTGAAAAATTTCCAAATCAGTTATTTATCCACAACACTTCCAAGTTCTGGATAGAGCTTAGAATGCTTTACAAGCAGATTCCAAGCTTAAAATACTTTATACCCTTTATTAATCTTCAAAATGAAAATTAATAAAGAATTAGACCTGAATTATTATTTTTATTTTTCAGGTATGGTAGAAAGAAAAAACTAAGTTAAATGACTTGGTAGAGGTTATTTGTTAATAGAAAAAGGAATAAGAACCAAGGTGTATAGAATCTTTACATTCTAATGTATACTTATCCCCATATGATAATAATTGCATACGAAGAGTTTGATACAGCAGTAGGTCAACAAAAATGTAGTGAAACAAGAAAGTCAATAAAGAAAATCACACAGGTAATGGCAAAGAAGATGAGATGTCTATACCTACTCTAATAACTAAATTAAATAATATTTTTAAAACTTTTACCACAAGAGATGGGATATGTGTTATGTGGTACTGAGGGGCAAATAAAATGAGTAAGGCTAGTTTGCAATTTGGTGGGAAAGATTCACTCATTCAATCAAGGAATATTTATCAAGCATCTATTATATGAAAGCAATGTGCTCAGTGCTGTAAGGCAAGTACTCCAAAACTATAATACAAAATAAGTCAAAGACGAGGAAAACATAGAGAACTAAGGAGATCAGAGGATGGAAGGATCACATATGAATATCTGTGTGTATGAGTTGGATGTTGAGGAAAAGTCAAATAGGAAAAGTGACATTTGGGGATAGGTCATTAAAACTAGGCACAATTTCACCAATGAGATTGTTGGAGGAAGTAGAGAATGTTGCAGGAAGAGAGAAATTTACAAGCAAAAGTAGAAGTGGGGAAGCAAGAGCATGCTTCCAGGCCATTGAGCAGTCCTTTTGGTTGAAATGGAAAGCAGTGAAAATTAACCCTGAAAATATAGATTAACACTATATTCTGAAGACCTTGAATATTAGGTTGTATTTTATGTATTCAGTAGATAATGAGGAAGTCAGTGAAGGTTTATCAGACAAGACTGGGTGTGTTCAGGGTGGTATGGCCATAGACAAGGCTTCTTATCAGAGTGAAATAATCAGAGCCTGGTTTTAGGAATATCAATTGAGTGTATGATTGATTATAGAGTGGAACATTGAGAAGCATCTGGAGGTAAGAAAACAGTTGGTAGTCTGTTATAATAGTTCATACACATAAAATAATGAGAATCTGAACTAAGACATTGGTAGTATAAATGAAGTGAGGAGATAGATGGAAGAGAAAGTCAAATGACTTGGTGGCTAAAAGAAAGGCAATGCCATACATAGCTAAAAGGCAGATAAAAGGAGATACATGTTTGGAGGGAATAGAATATAATGAATTCACATTTGAACATATTAAGTTTGAGAGACTATGGAATATTGGGGGAAATATTTAATAGAAAATTAGAGATACGGGTCAGGAATTCCAAAGAGAAACCGTGGCTGCAGAAATAAATGTAACAATCATATGCAGAGAGATGACGGCTGAAGCTATAGGAGTGGATAAGATTTCCAGTGGATAGAATAAGAAAAAGAAGAGAACTCAAAACAAAAATATTTGGAAACTGGGGCAAAGAAGAAGAGGTAAAGACAGAGGAATAGAGAGGCAGAAGATCAAAACCACTGAAGTGTCATGGAACCGAAGAGTTTCAAGAAAGAAATGCTAATAACACTGTTAAATACTTCACAGCAGTGAAAGATAAAAATATTTTTGTAGGGCCGGCCCAGTGGCGCACTGGATAGTGCGCCGCTTGGGAAGCGCGGTGGCGCTCCCGCCCGAGGGTTCGGATCCCACATACGGACTGGTTCCCGCTCACTGGCTGAGCGAGGCGCGGGAGCAACACCGAGGGTTGCGATCCCGTTGCCGGTCCCCGGTCCGGTCCGGGGGCAACACTGAGGGTTGCGATCCGTTGCTGGACACGGAAAAAGACAAAAAGACAAAAAAAAAAAAAAAAATTTTTGTAGATGACCATTTAGAAGGTCATAAGTGACATTTGAGAGACAGATCCAAGGTCTACGGAAGTAGGGAGAAAAATCAGTTGGCAGAGAATAAAAGAAAATGGAAGCAATGAGTTCATAACGTTAACTGTGAGGGAAAGGAGAGACATATAATGATAACTTGAGCCAATGTCTTGGCAGGGATTATTTTTTAATTTTTCAGCTAAACCCATCAATGAAAGAAAGTATAGCAAGATGCTATTTAGTTGGTATATTTAATAAGACCTCAGAGGGAAGTGATTTAAAAATGACTCATCTTTTAGCAGACAAGTCCACAATTACGAAGTAATAAAACACTTACAGCAGCCATTCTTAGTGAGATGGGGTAAGGGAGGATGATTTGCCCAGAATGTCTGGGAAACATATACCATCTCCAAAATTCCTATTTGTTTCCCCATGATCATGCTTCCATCTTGAGAATCTCTGACTTAAACTAGATGAGCAAGCAGAAAACTTGCATAGCCATTTCTATTCAAAGGGGAGGAATGAATAACTTAAGAAATATGAACATGACTTTGGATGAAGAAATGTTTACTTACTCTGAATTTGGTGTTTCTTTGGTATATAAAATTATCCAACAATAGCTATACTGGAATGATAATGCCATCAGTCTCATAATGATATTATCTGATGCCTTCTCACAATTCAGTTCTCCTAGGTCCTATCAGAAAATAAAGAAAATAAGATTCATTAGGTTGAACAGTTGTATGAAATCATTATCATATTTCAAGAATCTATGATATGTAAATGATAACTTGAGAAGAGACATGGGTATGGGCTTCTACTTCATGGAAAAATTTAAATCATGCTGGAAATAGTAGGGGAAAAGCTACAGTAGACATAAAACAACTAATGATAGCTTCAGTAGGGAAGATTCAAATCTCCCAGGTGTTAGATATGAAGAAAGACGCTCACAGAGTGCCCTTATTTTGAAAACATCCTTTGTGGGCAGTAATCTGGCCACTTCTAAGGCAAAAGAAAATATGTTTAAAAACCTAAGGAATAATCTGCACTGCATGCTTATTCAAGGGAGATGAAAAAGCAGAAATAAAAGGACTTTTCAAGGAATCTCTTCCTAATAGCCTGGAATCCCCTTTTCCTTTAAAATATAGTGTATATTTGCCAGATTTGTACCTTACCATAATATTTGCTATTAATTTATACTCCGTACCCTCAAACCTAGATTCTGCTCCCCACTCCCACCCCATTAAATTATTTGCAATTGGTACTCCAATCACGCAAACATATCAGGAAGATTCTGCCAAGAATTTATATATCTTAAATTCCAAACTAAATAAATTTTTAAAGAGAATTTCTCTTTCTCTTTAAAAACCAGCTTACTTAGAGGCATCCCTACTTACATTAAAGAAAATTCTGTATTATCAATCATCGATTGATATAGTACCCCCTTATAAGAAATATAGTGGCTAGAATTTAATCTTTAAAGCTTTCAACACCATATTTATTCTATAAATGTATTAAAAAATAGGTCAATATACAATATTAAACATTCTATATTTGCTTTATCTTTGTAAAGTATTTTTTAAGTTATAAGATATCAAAGAAGCTTGGTAATAGTCATTTTCCACAGTGATGATTTTAGCACTTACGGCCCACTTGCAAAATTTAGAAGAAATCACCAATACATTATAGTTAATCTCCCTATAGAAAAGCTAATAATGAATTACATGGTTATATGTATTTTAATCTATTTGAGTTATAATTTTTACTACATAGTTTTACCTGCAAAATTATGGCAGTTTGTTCATCAACTGTCACAACTACATAATGTTCTGTATTTCCAAAGAGTTTCAATGACTCACTACAGCATCTTTCCACTAGTGTGATATTATAGCTGTAAAATACAATATTTTGGGGAGAAAAAAAATGAAATGGCTAAGAAAAATTCTTCTTCAAGAAAAGTTGTATCATTCTCCTCCATATTAAATTATTTGAGTTACTGTGCTCTTTCTTTCATGTATCAATTTATTCTACATTATAAATTTGAGGAATTATGACTTATTTAGTACATAAAACAAATTAGTGGAGACATGTGTGCACTGCCTTAGGTATTGTGCTAAATATCACTGCACATAATACTATTACAAATGTCTTGACCAATTTATTCTAGGTCTTTAAATAATAATTTATGAAATCAAAACATTGTGTTGTGAGACTAAAATATGCTGTATTTATCAGAATATTCTTTTCTCTGCCCTTATAATTGGTCTAACTCTTAACAACCTTTTATAAGCACATAGTTTTCTGTGAATACCCAATAGCCTTAAGATATAAAAACAAAAGCATGGAACACAGATCTGCATTTTAACTAAGATCATAGCACAATCATTTATTTATTTATTAAATGTTTTGTTTTTATTAGTTATGAATGGTCACAGCACAATTATCTTTCCTTGATATTTAACCCAAGGCCTAACATTCCTGTGACAACTGTGTGCAATAATAAAGTGTTTCATGATTTTAAAACACTTAATATTGGTTTCTTAGAACTAAAGATCTAAAAACTTGAGAATTCATGTAGAACTTCATAGTCCTGTTTTCCAGGTAGTATTTAAAGTCCCCTAAACAAGAATACTCATTCTCAATTTTATCAATGACTCAAAGGTATGAACATATAAATCACAGAAAAAACACATAAGATGTTCATATTTGCTAGTAACAAAAGAAATGCAAGTGAAATATAAATTCAAACAATATTAAATATTTTTGTCCACAAAATTGGTAAATATTACCAAAAAAGATAATAATCAATAATTATGAGGGTATAGTATAGGCAGAGAACTGTAAATTGATATAAACTTTCTGGAAAACCATTCTTATGTGATATAATTCCAGGCTTGAATCAGAGAGACATAGAGCCACATACAGAGCATAATATTTAGCCTATCAGAATATAGATATAGCTTTGCTAAAGTTATGAAATCGATAACTTACTTGGATTCTAGCAGCTGAAGTATTTCTGGAGTATTAAGAAGTCCTTCAGATGCAAGAAACACATATGGAATCTGAATGTCCAAAAGAAAACCACCAAATCTATCCAGCAAGGTACTTTCTAAATAAGAGAAAATTTAGAAATATTTATATTTTTTCTCATCCCCAGCTCTTTCTCTTTTTTATTAAAGATGAGAATAATAGGTGTATGTTCAAGGAGTAGTATAAAAATAGTATTCATTGTAAAAAATCAGACATCAGAATAAAGAAAGGTCTGAAGAAGAAAATAAAAACATTATCCTCCTACCCAGAAATAAGAGTTAATAGGGTTTGCTAAAACTACTGTATACTAAAAATAGAGGTTAGTATATATCTCCAGACTTTTTTCTACGTATTTGCTTGCCTATACTCACACATGTACACTCACTTAAAAAAAAAAAACAGAAAAATTGGATTACATTCTACCTGAAAAGTTGAAACCTATTTTATTGACTTAAGTATATATTGGACATTTGCTATGTAAATATATACTGATTTATATCAAAATTTAAAATTATGTACAATAACCCATAGAAAAAACATTTTATTGATCAATAGGAAAAGAATACCTCAGTAGAAAAATAAGCAAGGAACATAAACAGGCAATTTATAAAAGAGTGTCTGTAAAAAATCAATTCACATCTGAAAAGACACAAATAATCAAAGATATGCAAATTAACACATCTTTAAAATATTTCCTGCCTATAATTCTGTCAAAGATTAGAAAGTTTGGGCCGGCCCGAGGCTCACTCGGGAGAGTGTGGTGCTGAGAACACAAAGGCCCCGGGTTCACATCCTATATAGGGATGGCTGGTTGGCTCACTGGTTGAGCGTGGTGCTGACAACACCAAGCCAAGGGTTGAGATTCCCTTACCGGTCATCTTTTACAAAAAAAAAAAAAGATTAGAAAGATTAATAGCAACTACCTATAGTAAAGACATGGGGGAAAGAATACTCTCACACTTTCTGTATAAATATAAATGGGAACAGCATTTCTGGAAGGCTATTTAGCAATATATCAATGTGTGTTTACCTTTGACCCCACAATTCATTTTACTTCTTGGAATTTGTATCTCTTAGAACAAGTACATAGAGATATATACAATATATAATATATTCATACAAAGTATAAATCTTGTAGTATAACAGGAGAAAACGGAAACATTGTTGATGTCCTCAAATAGGAAATTGGTTGAATAAATTAAGTTCATTTTTGAGAGGATGAAAGAAGAATTTAAATATAAACTAGAATGGTTCTTATCTTTTATCCTTTCTTGGGCCCATGTTCCAATTATTTAGTCAGTGTAACATTCAATTCTACATATGAAAGATTCTAACGAAAAAATTTTAGTGATTGCATTTTTAGAATTGAGTTGGACTGTCTCAAAATCTATTGGACTTCGCATTCATGGTTAAGGTAAATAGAAAATAACTTATGACAAGTATTGAGAGATGCACTGGGACTAAACATGCGTGAGCTTTCTAGGTCTCAGAATTCACAACCTCAGCCGTGAAGTATTACTGAGAAATACAAAGAAATCAAATGATACATGGTTTTAGACTTTTTTCTAAGTATTTGTGGATAATTTTTGTTGCACATTAAAGAATGTTGATTCAGTCAACGTACTATTATATAATTTTTCCCTAAAAATCAATAAAAATACTATTGCATAAAAGTATCAGATTAAGATTGGATATAATTGTAATAAAATTGGTACTATTATAAATAAAATTTAGAAGTTAGATAGAGGAATGAAGACAAATGTAATTAGTAAAGCTTACTTCACAAATAAAGAATATGAGGTAAGTGACAGCTAAAAGGACTAGCACAAGGCCTCACAGATAGTGGTGGGTTAGAGCTTGAACTCAAGTCTTATATTCTTTTCATAGATCATAAACAGAAAACAGAAAATTTTCATTCTAATGGAGAAAAAAGGATTTTGGTTTATATCCTTACTCTTTAAAACTGTGTCTGGAAGAATCACTTTAAAGGCCATGTAAGGAATATTCAACCTCTCGCAGTGTTTAGTCCAACACGAGTTTTCTACATAATTGTATTCCACCACAAATGAGAAATTACTCCAGGGGAAATCTGCACCAATATGTTGATAATGTACGACTACACAGGAACTTGTACTGAAGACAAAAGAAAGCCAAGAAAATGGAATTATACTTGTGTCATTTTTTTACTTGCAATGCTAAAAGATGACTGTTTCTGGCTATTCTATTCTTGTCTAATCTATGCTTACTCATCTTGGAAAGGCACTGGTGCATTTTCTGTTGATCTGATCTCCAACTGTGTTAATTTTTTTTAAAATTTCTTTTTTATAATCACACTTAAAAAAAAAAACCCAGGATATAAAAAACTGTGGACTATTTCACATCCTCAAATGCAAGGGACCCTCATTTTATACCTGAGTACTATCAATAACAGAAATCACCATGAGAAATCAATCTCATTTTCTTACAAATGTAAAGTCTTAATCTTTGAGAATCTATATAACAGAATATTATCTGACAACTTCAAAATGGGTTTTTTTTTCCTCAATGGGCTTTGTAGTTAATTTAACAACAACAAAAAAGATGGACATTTACATATCATAAATTTAGCTTTCCCATATTCATATTTCATATAACATAGCACCTACTATAATTAAAATTTTCTACTGCTACTTTCTATGTAGAACAATCTAGAAGTTAAAAAGTTATATCCAGTTTTTATAGCCTCCTATTGGATTTATATCTCTTTTTATTATTTGGATCCCAATATTTGAAATAAACAATTTCTACGTAAAATAAGGCAAAATAAAGACATTTTTAGAGAAATCAACACTAGATTTATTATTAGTAGGTCCTTGCTGAATGAATTTCTGAAGGATGTACTTCAGGGAGAAAGAGAACCCAGGAGATAGGAGATGTAAAAAACAATGCTGAGCAAAGAAACTGGTAAAAACAGGGTAAGTCTAAATAGGCACTTCTGTACTAACTAATACTAACAATAATAATGATAATTCAGGGATATTAAAATAAGATTGAACTAACGTTCTGGAAACTAATAATATATAATACACAAGGCTATGATCTGAATTAAAGTGCTCTATCTAAAGCATTTCTCAGAAAGAGGGTAGAGACAGTGATTATTTTCAGAAAAAATTAAACTTTTAAGTTAAATTCTAGAAGAAATTTTGCTTTTGCTGTGGAAATGGTATGTCTGCTCCCCATAGTGAGGAAATACATTTTTACCCATTTGAAACACCGTTAGGTTCCAGAAAGTCTTTTCTTTCATTTGAATGAAAGACAGTCAATGTTAAACCTGTTGGAAGAAAGAGAAATACAGTTTTTTTTAGTGTTTTGTTCATATACATTTTTTTGGTATGTCATATAATTCACTACCATAAAAGAGAATTAAAGATCTGTGAACAAGGATTGCTGATTTCTTTTTCTTTTCTTCTTCTTCTTTTTTTTGGGGGGTGGTGGTGGCTGGCACTTCTCCTTGGTGTTATAACGCTGTGCTCTAACCAACTGAGCAAACTGGCCAGCCCTTGTGAATTATTTTTCTAAGTCTAGCATAAAAGAAAGTTTGGAACATAGGCAGCATCCCTGGTGTGTATGTGTATACATGGAGATAAAGCATGGGAATTATGAATTCATTACGTGAAATAAAAAAATGGATCAAAACTTATAGTAACCAAATTAAACAATCACCAATCCTGTGCAGTTGATTTTATTTTGCTAGAAGTCATGAGAGATTTTATCTTTTTTCTCTAGCCCATAATTTAGCTACATAATTAAACAGCAAGAGACTGTATTTCAATGTGGTAGCAATGCAGTAGGGAATGTGGGGGGGGGGTTGTTTTTTGTTTTTTCCCTCTTTCTACTGGCTGTATCAGAAGCAGAAGACTTATTGGGCACCATCATTTCTTAGATTCACTCCTGCTTCTTAATTATAATTTAAATTTCTCATTTTACTAATGTTTAAACAGAATATAAAAAATTTCAAAAAATTCTGTACCCACACGTTTGGCTTATTTTTGGTAGACATAACTGATTTAAGAATAGTTTATTCTAGTTCAAATAAATTCTACACTTAGTGTACTTTTATCAATGATAATGTTCACAAACGTATGATGTAATAATGAGAGTAATGGTTAATAATTTCATGTAACTTGACATAACAGTTTTGATAGTAATAAGGAATATGTACTATTTCTCTTTTGTAATTCATAGGTGATTCATATTATTTAAAACCTAATCTGCTTAAATAATTTGTATTAGCTATGATCCCCAAGTAGATTAATTACTTGGTGAGTGCATTACTAGATCTTGCAAATACAAAGAAAATGGAATGACATTTTTTACTTTCTAACACTAGACAGAAAAAAAGGCCTAGCTACTAGAAACTGAGGATAGTTGCCAGTCTGAAAGAGAGTAAAAATATTTTCCAGTTCATAGATTCAGTGTTTTTGTGTCAGTAGACATTGTTGAAATGAAGATAACAAGAATAGTGATGATATAATCCCAAATGCCAAAAGAAACAGGGGTGTTCAGCATGAAGCCTAGATAAGAAGAGATAAAGAATAACAATCTGTCAATATATCTTAAGTGACATCAAAGGAGAAGGTGCCCCATCAAGTAGTATTAAGTATTCTTCTTTGTGGGGCAGGAACATTTCCTTAGTGTCTTCACAGACACATGCCTCTCGCTACCCAAATACCTTAGTTTTATAATGCTAACATTGCTCAGCACTTTCCTGATTTTTTAAAAAATGTTTTCAATGACCCCAATTCCAGACAACTGTGGCAAATTCAGCCCCGCAATTGTTAACTATTGCTCTAACATTTTGGTACTAGTAGAGATCTTATGAGTATTGTGAATACAAACTCAGCTTTGTATTGGAAAACTGAATGAAATAACCAATAAGATCCAAGCTTTGCAAATCTGTACTCTGGATGCATAACTTCGTTAAGAAATAGTACCTTATAAGGCTCTCCTAAAAGAGCTTTCTAGTCTCACATTACTATAATTTAAAATATTAGCTAACTTTACTAACTGCATTGATGAGTGGATATTTATTACTATGTTTGTATATATTTCAGCTCAATCTTTTTTACTACTCTCAGTATGTACTAGATATACAGGGAGGTATTCATTAACTTATTCATTTATTCAATAAACTTTTATTGAGCGCCTTCTATGTTGTAGGCATTTTCCTAGGTGCCGGGAATACAAATTAGGGCATGACTTAGCCGCCAGAAGCTGAGGGTGAGGACAGACAAAAGAATCAGTTATTACAGCTCAGGGTGGTAAGTGGTGCCTTAGAAGTATGCACATAATGCTCTGAGAGCACAGAAGGAAAGCATTTAAATCAAGACTTACTGAACAAATGTTTTAACTAATTTTTAAAGGATGTGTAGGAATTGGCTTCCTAAAGAAGGGAGAAGAGCATTCTCATATCAGGAACAGTAGGTATAAAGGCATGGAGGTATGAAACAGCATGGCAAATAGTTGGTAGAGTTAAAGAAATATTTTAGGAGATGAAGATGGAAAAAGATGCAGTTTATAGAGTGAAGGGAAATAATAACCAAAGGGTGACATAGGTTGAGGTTGGTATTTTATTTTATTTTTAAGACTGGAGGGTTTAAACATTTAGGAAAAGAGTTATTAGGAAGGAAGCTTGGGCTAGAAAATAATTAATGGAACAAACTGCTTGAGACTGCAGGGAAAGATGGTATCCAAAGCACAATGAAAGACTAGTCTTCAAAGGGAGGAGAAATATTTCTTTTATAGAGAAATGAAGAAAGGATAGAAGAATTGAAAGAAATGAAGGTAAGTTTGTAGATGGTAGGGAAGAAAACTGAGGAGGAATCTTACCCAACTAATGGAACTTAGAAGGCATAATTTCCTTCTAAAAATTAGGGGATGGATGGCATAGTAGGGGTCTGAGGTTTAGCCATTAAGAGAATAGGAACAGGAACTATGAAAATATAGAAATATTGTTAAGAGTTATTAAGAGCTCATTTAAGTTCAGAGAACATGAGCTTATAGTGGCACCAATCTAAATGGATGTGTGATTTTCTCCAATAGTGCTCAGCACCTCAGGTGTAGGAATAGAGAGGTTAATTGTATTGATTGATTCAGGTTTGAAGTTTAAATGGAATGTACAATAGAAGGATGAGCCTGGTTAAAGTGATGGGTCAATAGATGGTACCCAGTGTCACTTTCTCCCACAATCAACCAATTTACAACTATTAAAAAGCAACGGCAGCCAAGATGGTGCTGCTAGAGCTCAGGAGAAGAGGAGGAGAGACCTACAGAGTTGATAACGGCAGGAGCAGCCATGATGAGAAAGAAAGGATTGCCCTGACTGTTTCTAGAAGAAATTTTGACCACTTCAAGGCTGGCCCTGGTGAACACACAGAGCAAGAGCTGGCAAAAGTCACTGCTGTGCCCTTCAGATGAAGTTGCTTGGAGGCTACATGGGAGAAGAAGGTCTTGGTGGCCCCCAGGTCTTGTGAACCCACATAGGAGTGAAGAGCCACAGACAGCTGAGAAAAGGAGCCACTCCAAGGCTGATGAGTCATTGCAAGGGACCAGTGCACAGCCCATCCCATGGGAAGTATTTGGACTGCAGGAGATGGGGGAGAGGGCCCACCAGGGGAAAAAGGGGGCATACCATGCACAGCTGATCTGCCCTCCAGTCAGCACAGGACCACTCAGTGGAGACTGGTCAAGAATATAGAACTGCAGGGGATGTCATTTGCTGAAAAGACTCAGGCCCAGACCAGAGTTTCCATATAACAATGAATTTTATGGTATGTTAGTTATATTTTAATTTTAAAAGCTGATTAGAGCAATATATTTTTTATGTTCAAGCATTTGTTATCAAATGAAGCATAATTTAAAACTCCTTACCTTCCATTTTGTTAAGGATTTTAATGAGTAAATGCTTTTCATCATCTGAGTCCGTTCTTATTATAATCAGCACCTAGTCAAAAATAAGAATTTCATACACACACACACACACACACACACACACACACACACACACACACACAGAGTCATTGCCACACACATTTTTTGGTTTTGGTTTTGTTTTTTGGGTTTTTTTCTATTTTATTTATTTTTAAAATTTATTTGTTTAAAATTTAGGTAGAAAATCACTTTCTCAACCTACAAAGAAAGGAAAACATCACAAATTGAATTTAAAGTCAATTGATAAGGAACAAGTTTAACACACAAAGATTAACATCCTTAATGCATAAAGAACTCTTGAAAATGAATTAGAAAAATCTTAACAGAAATTTGGTGAAGGACATGAGCAGACAAGTCACGCACCCAACAGAAACACAAGTGGCTAATAAATACGTTCCAAGATGTTCATAGAAATGGAAATTAAAACAGAAAAATGGCATTTTTCATTTCTCAAACTGAAAATATATGATACCGTATAATACTGGTGCTATGACAGAAACAATGTCAAAACCTTCTAGTATAAGTATGAATTGGTGAAACTTTTTTGAGGAACAGATTGGATTCATAAATCGAAGTCTTTAAAATGTTCATTCACTTTCAACCAATTATCCTACTTCTTGAAATTATAAGCAAATAATCAAAGAAAATATTTTTCTTTAAAAATGTGGAAGGCAGTACATAACAACGTTTTGGTCAGTGACAGACTGCATGTATGATGGTGGTCCCGTAAAATTATAGTACCGTATTTGTATTGTACTTTTTCTATGTATAGATATGTTTTCAGATTCACAAATACTTACCATTGTGTTACAATTGCCTACAGTGTTCAGTAAAGTTACATGCTATACAGGTTTGTAGCCTAGTAGCCATAGGCTATACTATATAGCCTAGGTGTGTGGTAGGCTACACCACCTAGGTTTGTGTAAGTACATTCTATGATGTTCGCATAACCACAAAATTGCCTAATGACACATTTCTCAGAATATATCCTTATTGTTAAGTGACATATCACTGCATCTAAATGATTATTCTTTTTCACATTTTTGCTACAGTGACAAAATACCCAATTTAATTGGTCACATGAAACTAATGACAATAGTAAATATTTTTATTGTAAAAGATGTCAATACTTAAACACAAAGGAATAAATTCTGGTAAGGTCAAACATCAGTGAGGAAAATATTTTAGGGTAGGGCATTCTTAGCATTCCTCAAGTATTCCCACATATGCGACTATCAATACATAAGCTGTCTCTGCCTATATTGTTAGTGTAAAATTCAACCCAGTCAAGTTTGAATTTGTTGGAGAAAACCGATGATTTGCTGCTATATTTTCTTTCTTACTGTTATAGTTTTTGGTTGTTTTGGGCGGGGGCAGAAAATCAGTTTCAATTTTAAATTTCTCACTTATTAATTTAATTTAATGACTTAAGAGTTACCCAAGAAACTATAAAATTAAAAATATAGGGGGATAGAGTGGAAAAAGAAGAAAAATGCAACATGAATATGTGTACAGATTTAGTATAAACCATTTGAAGTGCTTTTCTGTTCGATAAGATTTTAAAAAGCATTTTCTCTTAAATCTTCATTAATGCAAACTTCATATGCTTGATGTAGGGTGGACAAATAATATCCAATATAATCCAAGGCATCAACTAAGTGCTTTCTTTGCAGAATCATATGAGATTCTGACTCAATATTTAAAAATAAATTATTGTAGTTCTATGCATGTATGTTCATGGACTTATGTAAGTACCAGACAAAACTGTTGACAATTAGAGAACCAATCCATAGAAAATTGTGTATAACAAAAATTAAAGTACTTTTTAACTCAAGACATGAATAATAATGCAAATCATCCTTTCTCTGGGTCTGATTCTGTTCTGTTACCTTACTTAAGGAGAAAGCTGTCAAGGAGCCAATTAGTACAGACTATTTGATAATTTCAGAGTTCAACACAAAAACTTATATCCAATTCTTATTTAAACTGATTACTTTTATCTGCTTTATTCCAATACTTAACCTTAATTTGCTGTTGACTTTGCATCCAACTTAGTATCTGACATTGTATTTCTTGTATCTTGTAGTTGGTTTCCGGCTTTTTTTCCCTAATAAACTGTACAATCTGCAGCTGTCTCCAAATGTCTTCCAGATAGGAACCTAAAATGCTTTTGTAGATCTCTTTTGCATTTGACAAATATCCTGTTAAAGCAAAATTAGAAAAAATCCCATAAGTCCTTTTTTTTTTTTAAATTTAAATTTTATTTTCATTAATGCTTTTGTAGATCTCTTTTGCATTTGACAAATATCCTGTTAAAGCAAAATTAGAAAAAAATCCCATAAGTCCTTTTTTTTTTTAAATTTAAATTTTATTTTCATTGAACATGTTTATGGTCATTTTGTTCTTTGAGAAATTTCATGGTAAAACAGCCAAAAGGAAGTAAGAGTCATAAGAGAGACCATTAAAATTTCCTTTAATCCTTTTCTGATTTTGATCAAAGATATTCACTAATAAAAACCTTAAAACTGAGTGAAGCTAAAAAATATGTACCACATGTCTCTTTTTAAGCTACATAACATCAATACGCCTGGATATACTCTACATATTCTCTGAATATATCTTATCCTTTCCTGCCTCCTGGCTTGTTAAATGCTACTGAACTTTTCCTGAATCCCAGGATCTCTACTTAACATGCAATTCCTGTTAAAATGTTACTTCACTGGAATTTTCTTGGTATTTTATCTATACAAGTTTTGTGTCTGATTTCTGGTTATGTATGTATATGACTTAATTACCTCAGGAGCTTATAAATTCTTCCAAGGTAGAATACATGGTATTAATACACAATTAACTTGTATAGCTGCTAAAACAGTAGTGCATAAATTCAGACTCACTAAGGGCAATTTTTAAACAGAGATTCCTGAGATCCATCCTTGAAGGTTCATATTCAGTAAATCTAGACTTTGTCCCAAGGTTTTCTGTGTCTAAGAAGCTCTCTGTGTGATTCTGCTGCATGGTGAGTTTTGTGAAATACTGCAATAGAGCACCTGGCATAGTAACTTATGTAGATTGTGTTTAATAAATATTAACATAATAAATGAAATAATAAATTTTAAAAATCTAATGTTTATGTTCATATGTGGTATGTGTAAGTGCATATTAATTGTAATTTTATGTTACTATTGCTAGATTGATGGGCAACTTAAAGATTGACTTATGTTCTTTCTGCCTCCTAATCTTCAAGCCTCACACTGATTCTCCATACTGCCATCAGATTTAACCTTTTGAAAAATAAATCAAATCCAATAGTATCCTTGTTTCAGTGGATCCCTATCATCTGCAGAATAAGGTCTAAATTCCTCTGTGTGGTTTATAAGGTTCTTCGTGATTTGGCTCTTTCTTACTTCTCCAGGCTTAGCTACTGTTGCTTTATCCCTTGTCCTGTTCAATCTAGCCACGTGGAACAAACCCACTGAGCCATTCCTCTGGGATCTTAAGTCTGCCTAGAATATTCTTTTATACTTTATCTACTTGGCAAACTTCTACTTATTCATATTTTTAAAGCATATTCATCTTAAGATAACAGTCTCCATTCTTTGTGCCACTGCTATGTGTCTCTATTATAATGCTCATTACATTCAGTAATAAAGACTGAATTTATTTCTGGGTTAAAGCCCAAAAGGGAAACTATACTTCAACCTTAAAACTTTTTACATTGCTAGTTTGAGAGAGGTAGCAAACTAGAAGCTGGGGGGAAAAATTCTGGGAGTAAGCAGGGCAGGCAGCCAGACCCCCCAGGGATTTTTATTCCTCTGCCACTATACAGAGAGATAGAAAGGTGGACAACCTAACTTGATCTTTGCTTTTGAGAGGTTTAGAGCAGTAAGAAAATCCTCCACTAAAAATGTCGAGAGCAGTTATGTTATTCATTACGACTTGGTACCCACCGTTTAAGAAGTCAGTTTTCCAAAAAGAATTTTGCTTTTATAGCATTCCTCAAGGTAGCCAAATAGTAATGCCAAAGTGTGATTTAGGGAATGCATTTCTTTGAGGAGCAAAAATAATACATTCTAAGAATTTGGTTCTCACTGGTCTCACTTAATCCAAGTATAAATTATGGAGTACTTAGAGATGAATACCCTTCAAGCAATCCTCTATTATTTCTCTAATCCAAGGTTTTGATAAGAATTGAGCATATTGTACTTGGCTAGATTATATACTTGGCCAAGTATTATAACTAAGTTATGCCACCTTTAGAAAGCTCAACATGATACTTTTCCTTTCTTCTCCAATTCAACCACTTGCATGTTGATACTGGACCTGGTTATCTTATCTCCATCTCCAGACAAGTAAAGATTGGGGGGCTAAAGCCCTAGTTTACAGTACCTAGAACAAGTGTAAGGGTGTGGTGTCACATGCCCTTCTATTTAGCCATCTGTCTTAATTATACTTCTCAGCTTCCATAAAAGATTGCCAGTTCTACAAACAGCTAGTCTGACTATTAATGTATAATGTTAAAGCAGAACATCAGAATCTAGAATATCTGAGCTCCCAGCACTGTAGCAGGAATACAACTGTGATTCACTGCTGCTCAATAGTTATCAAAACCTTGAATTAGAGAAATAATATTTCCAGGTAGGTAACAGATAAGAGAAAATGTCTGGGTCTTAGATCAGAAAAAAACTATTTTCACTTTATATATGAAATAAGTTTTAGAAACTCCAAATTATAAAATATAATCCCATAAGCATACCATTACTAAACAAGTCTAAATAATCCGGCAATACGAGGAATAAAGTAGTAATGTAGTAGAGAAATATTTAAATGATTTTGATAGGTTAAAAAATTTTTCTAAAATCTTCAAAATTTCCAATATGTTCAAAATAGTTTGATTTTTATTACTGAAGTAATTCATATCCTAATTTACATATATAACTAAAAAATTAATTGCAAAAGATCCTACTCCTTATAATTGAGTTATATTTTATCTAGCCAAGATTCAAAACCACAAAGATGCAATGACGACCTAAAATATTTATGATAAAATACCAAATCTCACATTAAAAAGGAGTACATGATGATGATTATACAATCAGATCTGTTTTAGGTCATTAGTACTCTATAATTCAGACTTAGATCAGAGAATCCTAATCTTATTTTTTTAGGTGATGATAGTTGTTAAAGACAATTTCTTTTAATGAACATAAGCAGAATAATATATATATATTCCATTATAATTATGTCAAAATGTATATACTGCTTAGTGTAACAGAAGTCAAAGAAGGCTATATAATTTCTTATGAGGTATATCTTTTTCAGAAAATGTTATTTCAGATGAAATACTTCAATAGGTAGAAAAGGGGAAATAAAATTTTCCCCACTAACCCAAAGCTGTGTCCAAGCTGCATGTTAAAAGCACATCTCTAATCGTTACCAGAAGGTGTAAGAGAGCAGAAAGCTTGAATGTCATTTCTCTTTCATCGTTTGTACCTAAGTAAGCAAAAACATATGTAAAAACATATTTTAGAACATTTATCAGAATCTGCTTAATAATAATAGATAACATTTATTATTGAATGCTTACTATATGCCAGGGTGTATATAAGCTGGTTATTTCATTGAATCCATAACAACAATCCTATGAGGCAAGTTAATTATAAGCCTCATTTCATGAATGAGGAAATGGTCTTCATAAGTAACTGTGCAAGGTCAGTTAGTGAATAAATTGTGCAGTTGGCATTCAAACCCAGACATCTAACCTTATAGCTCATGCCCTTGTTTCTTCCAAAGAATATTTAATTATTTATATTCTTGTTGGGAAAAAAAGCCAACTATTTTCAGTTATAAAACAAAAGAAAATTAAATCCATAACTTGCCAACTGGTTAAGATAAAGGTGGAGGATCATAACATGAAGAAATGCTTTGAAATGGAGGTGGACACCTGAGAATATCTGTTCAAAGATATAACATGAACAAGAGATGTATTCACAGCAACAGGCCAATTGCCTAAGTAATGTGTTTCATGTAGTTCCAGAGCTTTTTGAAGACAATAGATTGGATTTTTCTGCATGTAAAAGTGACACCAAGAAGATGGGATTCTTGGCCCACTGCCCCAATTTAACCACATCAGCTCTACTTTTCTCTGTTTTATATATTGGGATACCATGAAATATTTATTTGAACAAAAAGTCCTGCCAAAAAGTTTTCAAATTGCTAATCAAATCAACAAAGATCAAAGCACATTTGTAGTAGTCCTTGGGAATCAGGAGGCAACAAGAAAGGCAATTAGGGGTAGAATATCCAGTCCCTGGAAGGACTTGTGGGAACAAGTCAATCAGGATTTAGAAGGTATGAGAATAGGTCAGAGAAACCATATTTGGGGACTGGAAATGTGATAACGCTTGGAAAGTGGAGTACAGACAGACTAGGAAACCAGTTGTGGGAAGTGGTCTGACATTCTAATCTAGGTTTACTTAATTGTAGTCTTTTTTTTTTTTTCCCCCCCTTTTTGTCTTTTTTCATGACCGGCAACGGATCGCAACCCTCAGTGTCACGCCCGTACCGGACCGGGACCGGCAACGGGATTGCAACCCTCGGTGTTGCGCCCGCACCTCACTCAGCCAGTGAGCGGCCAGTCTGTATGTGGGATCCGAACCCTCGGCGGGAGCGCCGCCGCACTCCCAAGCGGCGCACTGTAGCAGTGCGCCACCAGGCTGGCCCTATATTGTTTATTTCTTTTTTTTTTTGTCTTTTTTTTTTTTTTCCCCCCCTTTTTGTCTTTTTTCATGACCGGCAACGGATCGCAACCCTCAGTGTCGCGCCCGTACCGGACCGGGACCGGCAACGGGATTGCAACCCTCGGTGTTGCGCCCGCACCTCACTCAGCCAGTGAGCGGCCAGTCTGTATGTGGGATCCGAACCCTCGGCGGGAGCGCCGCCGCACTCCCAAGCGGCGCACTGTAGCAGTGCGCCACCAGGCTGGCCCTACTTAATTGTAGTCTTAAATATACCTCAATTCTTGAGTCAATGAAAGAATATCAAGTATAGCAACTATATCACTTGCTCAGGATTAAGACAGTATTGTTCCAATTGGATACCCCAAACCATGTTCCTTTCTTGTCCTCCATTATATTTCATAAATATTTATGCCTATATATTGTATAATAATCACCATTCTGCTCAATGGTGTTCAAAGCCCTTAGAAGCTCAATCCATATTCAACTAATTTAAAACCTGAGTTACAGGACTCAAACTATATTCAGAAGTCATGTGTTTTTTTATTTGTTGGTTTTGTGTGTGTGTGTGTAAATCTTGTCTTCCATAATGACTAGCTTTCTGACAACTATTATCATTACCAGAATGCCAGTTCCCCAAAGTATTCTTGATCATTTATCTTCACTAATATGCCTTTCCTGTGGCTCACAGGTATTTCAAGTAGTAAACTATGGGTTAATACCTCAAGGTTTTGGTGACTAAAATGTTGCTCTGCCAAAAGACTGGGTGCTCTATTTGAAAGAAGATAAATATGACTTTCTTATAGTCTTTTATGTTGTATTTAATTCTTTTCTTTTTAAGAGAGTTAGCATTTAAAAATATATAGGACATCTAAATTTAATGAATTTAGAAGATTGACTTTAAAAATAAAATCAAGTAGGTTCCAGTAAGATGGAACCTTGTCTCTTCCATTGAATACAATCCCTCTGTCTCTTCCATTGAACACAACCCATGTAGTATTTCCTGGCTTCAACTAAAGAAATCCCAGAACCCAGAAGTGTGTACCACTGTATGGACAGAGCTACAAGAGAAGCCCTCTATCCATAGTCAGAGAAGTGGGAAAGGGGATTCTTAAGGATAAGAATGAGTGGGAGAAAATACCCCCCTTCTTTTTTTAAAATATTTTTTCCATTCTCTCCTGCCCCAGGTCCCATAGTGGTAGGGTCAGCAATAGCAGGGTTGCAAATCTCCATTGATTTTTTTTTCCCTTTCTGTCCTCTTGCCATTTGGCCCCAGAGCATGATGCAGTCATGATAAGTTCACAACAGAGTGAGATAACTAAAGCCCTCACTCTTTGGTAAAGGGATAGTGAAGGGAAGCTCCAGAGAGGCAGAATACGTTGGGGACATAGTGGAGAGAAGAGATCTCAAGAGAGTGATTCCATAGAGTGATATAATAACTCTTGAAGAAACCTCAGAGCTGCATAGGCATGGATGGGACCCTAAAAAGTTTACCAAAAGTTTTGAGAACTGACCTATGGGCCAGATAATTTCCCAGGTTGTACACTGGCCACCGGATGACACGTATGTGGGACAGGTTCAAATAGCACTGCAAAGGCTCTAAAAACTGAAAGCACATTCCAACTACAATCCTCAAAAGGCATATAGCCTGAACTTAACCAGGTTTGACTGCCTGCTAAAATAACAGCAACAAAAGGTAACTTTCCACCGAAAATTTAAGCAAGACCCAGAATCTCATAACATGATATTCGAAATGTCCAGGAAACAAATCAAAATTACTCAGCATATGAAGAACCCAGAAAATATCAACATGCAAGAGAAAAGACAGTTAACTGAAGCCAATTTCTTTTTTTTTTTTTTTTTTTTGTCCTTTTTGAGACCGGCCGCACCGCGCTCAGCCAGTGAGCGCTGTGAGCGCACCGGTCATCCCTATATAGGATCTGAACCCACGGCAGGAGCGCTGTGCTCCCAGCACCGCACTCTCCCGAGCGTGCCACGGACTCGGCCCAAGAGAAAAGACAATTAACAGAAGCCAATTCTGAGATGACAGATGTTGGAGCTATCAACCAAAGACTTTAAAAGCAGCTAATATAACTCCTACCTTGAATTCCTAGGATAAATCCCAGCTGGTCATTATGTATTATGCTTTTAATATATTGTTGGACTCAATTTGCTTAAATTTTGTTTGGAAATACTGTATCTATGTTCATGAGGGATACTGGTCTATAGCTTTCTGGCTTTATCTGGTTTTTGTATCAGGGTAAGGCTGAACTCATAGAATGGGATGGGAAGTATTTCCCCCTCTCCTATTTTCTGGAAGAGTTTGTGTAGAATTGGTTTTATTCCTACCTTAAATATCTGATAATTAGTTTGTGCAACCATCTGGGCCTGGAACTTTCTTTGTGGGAAGTTCTTAAACTACACATTTAATTACTTAAATTAATATGTTTCATAGGTTGTCTATTTCTTTTTGGAAAAGCTTTGGTATTTTGTGTCTTTCAAGAAATTTGTACATTTTATCTATGGTGAACTTACTGGCATAAAGTTGTTAACAATATTCCCTTAATTATCTTTTTAATATCTATAAAATATGGAGTGATGCCACTTCTATTATTCCTGATATTGGCTATTTATATCTTTTTCCTAATGGATCTGGCTAGAGGTCTATCAATCTTATTGATCTCAAAGAACTAGCTTTTGGTTTCAATGATTTTCTATATTGTTTTCCTATTTTCTATTTCATTGATTTCAACTTTAATCTTTATTATTTCTTTTCTTCTATTTACTTTGGGTTTTATTTGCTTTTCTTTTTCTACTTCCTTAGGGTGAAAACTGAGATCATTGATTTAAGACTATTTTTCTTGGTCTCAAAATAATTGTAAAGCACTATAAATTTCCCCCTTTGTGCTGCTTTAGTGGCATCCCACCAATTCTGATAGTGTTTGTGTTTTCATTTTCATTCGCTTCAGGATACTTTTTAATTTCTCTCTGTGTTTCTTCTTTGATCCATGGGTTACTTAAAAGTGTTTTATTTAATTTCCAAATATTTGGGGATTTTCCAACAGTCTTTCTGTTATTATATCTAACTTAATTCCATCCTGGTCATGGAATGACTTGAATTCTTTTGAATTTATTAAGAATTGTTTTATGGCCCAGAATATGATCTATCTTGTAAATGTTCTGTATACATTTGAGAAGAATATGTACTCTGCTGCTGTTAGATGGCATGGTCAGCAAATGTCAATCAGGTCAAATTGGTTAATAGTGTTATTCAGGTCTACTATATCTTTGCTGACTTTCTGCCTACTTAGTCTATCAATTATTGAAAGAGGGGTAGTGAAATCCCTGACTATAATTGTAGATTTCTATTTCTCCTTGCAGTTCTATCAGATTTTGCATCAAGTATTTGGAAGCTCTTTTAGTATGTGCAAAAACATTTAGGATTATTATATCTTCATGATGAACTGAAACCTTTATTATAAAATGACCAGTGATTAAAAAAATTCCTGATTATATTCTTTGTTCTGAAATTGACTTTGTATGATATTAATACAGACAAACCACCTTTCTCTTGACTAGTGTTAGAATGGTATATCTTCTTCTGTTCTTTTACTTTTAACCTTTATATGTCTTTATATTTAAAGTGTGTTCTTTGTGGGCTGCATGTAGTTGCGCCCTGCATTTTATCCAATCTGACAATCTCTGCCTTTTTTGGGGAATACTCATATATAGATATTTAATCTGCCACTAATCCCA